CATACAGTATACACACACACACACCTCCCCCTCTTCCACAGGCATCCTGGCTGCCACTCCTTCCCTAACAACCACACACACAAACGAAAAGATGCGCACACACACACACACACAGACAGACAGACACACACACACACACAAACACACACGTATACATATACACATACACTCTTTAAAACACACAACTACCCCTTACCCTCAAACACACCCATGCTTTTCTTACAGTTACACACACACAGACACACAAAGTCAAAATGAGACACAAACTCTTTTCTTGCAACTAAAAACATTGTCTGGTCTTTCACACTCCTCATCACCGACATTTGTGACACAGTCTGTACTTACATCGCACAGATACACAAGATACACAATTCAAAGTTTAGTCAAGATCAATTTATTTCAGTCCACTCACACACCCTCAGAATGAAGTCAATAATAAATACGTTCTTCCACCAAAGTTACAGAAAAGACTTTACATTACTCTGATGTTACATTCACAATGCACCATCACATTATCTCTCTTTGATTTGAGATCAATTTTATTGATACACAATCATTTAGTCCTTAAATGGAAAATAAAACAATATTTGGGCTGTAGATGGCAAAAAAAAAGTTTTACAAGTTAGCTTTATGTTTGAAAACTGTCTCACTCGTTTACTCAGCAAGCTTTCTGTAGCATCTTCTTCTCTGTGACACAACTTTGAATAAAACACTGACAGTGAAGCCAAAGTCAAGATGAAAGACTTCTTCCATGTGATAATGTTGAGTGTGCAACCACTCATGAGTTGAGAGTCGGAACAAAGCTCAGTGTGTTGCATTTTGATCACAGCGGAAATATGAAAGCAGCAGACGTCTGCGAGCGAATCAAGCTACTTTTGAAATAACTCTAAAAATGCACGTCCCTCCACACAGATAACAAGATAACAAACCAGGTTAGCAGTAAACCTCAGTAAAATCTATGTCTGACCTATATCCATAACTTGCATCTTTGTAGCTGATATCCAGTAAGGTCATTGACAACATAATTAATGGGAATAATGAATTGCCTATTTTAAGCTTGGGTTGGCAATTCTGGAAATGCTATGGCAAAAGCAGGCTACAACAGATACATACTACCACCTCCTGTCGGCCCTCTTGTCAAAGCTATGCCCACAAAACATATGAACGCACGCTGCGTGACGACTGCTGGCTTTCCGTGATTCCCTGACTCCCTAACTAACGTCTCTGCTCCAGCTGAAGACTCCGGTCATTCGCATGAGAGCACGGGTCACTTTATTTATTGGTGGCATATGAGACGTGAGAAAACAACTTACCAACCGTACCTTTAAGTCATTTTCAAGCAAAACAGCAGACAACATTTTCACACTTGTTCCAGTTTCTAAACTTAAATAAAAAATAATCCCACTCCACTGCCATATATCAAACATGCTCTGTTAATACATGTACATCCTGTATGGGTGTGTGAGCTGTGGACTGAGGCCTGCTGTATGTTAGAAAGCCAGAGAGCTGCTACTTCAACTGATGGATGAACCCATGAATGTTACGGTCACCACATCGGAAAGGGGCTTTGCTACAAACCCTCAAGAGAATAAAGATTTAATTTGAGACACTGTTGTCCGAAAGAGACTTTTTGGACAACAGTGATAAAAGGAAATGCAAAATAATTTTGTCAGCCCAAAGATTAAATCTAGCTTCGGTGTCTGGTCCCTCTTGTGTGACCATTTTATCGAGGGCCAGTGAGAGTCATTGCACAGATAAAGCCACATTTGCAGGACAGGGTTTATTGTCGCTTGACCATACAAAGAAAAATGTCAATGACACTGAAACAATTCATACATAAATCAATAAGTTCACTTCGCTACCAGCAGGGACAAAAGGGGTTCACCACACATTCTTTATGATAAAGCTGACAACTCTAATGAGTGTGGCTGCTTCCTGCTGTATGATTGCTGCTTATAGACAGATGTGATGGTAACCTAATCCTCTCTTTGTGCTGGCAGCCATTTGTCTACAGCTAGCTCTCGCTAAACCAGAGGTCACAAGAGAGGGCACTTGGTGGCGTAACAAACTACATTTGGAAAGACACCTAGTAAAAGTTAAAAAAAAGGGAATACAATCAATCAAATGCACATAAAAACAACCATTTTGCCAGGAATGTAACAACACTGTTCTTTCTATGGTCTGTGGGAGATTGACAGGCTGAGTGTATTGCCATTTTCAGACAGAACTGTTCAGGCCAGCCCCCTTGTAAAATGTCCAGATAATCTCAGAATGAGCTCATGTAAGAAGACAGCAGGAAAATGTTCAAAACTGAGAAAATAACAATCAAAAACAACAAGACAACAAATATCTCTGGATGAAAAATATCTACAGGGAAGATGTTCAGACATTGTCCCTGTTGTCGTGAACACCTCTGACTTAAACCATCTCCTCCTGTGTTCTTCCTACGTGAAAAACAAAGTCCAGACCCAATTATCCAGGACATTTTCCGGAGTTCATGTCTGAAAACAGCTATAGCGCTGTGACGTGAAGCTGTTAGAACCAATAACCACCCAGTTTCCCCATAAAGCTAATGTTCAGGCTCCAAAGCTGCATTCAGACCAACAAAAACATCCAATCAAAGACACACAGACTCCCTCGTTTCAATGAGACCAATGAATTGACCAACTGAGAGAGAAAAATCACACCACCACAATGACTTTCCACAGTAAAATGCTGTCACATACAGTTACTACAGCAAGAGTAATGTTTTCGTCTTTGCTTAAGCCTTTGAACTCATTGACAGGATATTCAAACTTGGGCTTAAGTTCTCTTGTCTTTGACTGTACTTGATCCGTGGCCAACCAGGCCAGCAAATCAAGCGAGTCAGAACAGAGAGCAGAGCCGGAAAATCTTTTTTGGGAAAAAATTAAAGAAGATTTATGCTCTGTGTATTCCAGCAGACAGTTCATCATCAGAGTACATGAAAAAAAAATTATAACATAATACATCCCCTCAAAACCCATATACAGAACAGCAAATGCAATACATGTATTACATTTATAGTGTATCGCATTAGAACTCACTGCACTCCAATTTGTTATTTTATATTTAGGATGTTTTGTGCTTTATGATGTATATTCATTCTTCATTCAGCGAATGCGTTTTTCACATGTGCAGTAGCTCTTATTTTCTCAGGGGTCAAATTGAATCTGGAAATTAACGATGGTGACTCGGATCAAATGACCAAATGAATTCACGTTTCCTTCCAGTAACAACATCCAGTTTCCTGTATCGCTCAAGCACCACACAGGCTTTTGTTCAAACTCCCAGTGCACCTACTAACAGTTTATCAACCTACAGCATGTAACAATGCAAACATTAACTCAATGCACCCACAGCCCTTGACCTATAGAAACGTTTAAATGTTACACGGTCCCCTTATACATAAAATGAAAAGACTGCATAGGACGTAATAAACCTCTCGTCCATCACACCTCGTCTGCTTTGTGCTCCACATGGTCATGGATCTCTTTGGTTATCTAGAACAGATTATTCTACATAGGATTCAATCCAATTCACAGTATCTTCTTCCCTTAACTTGCCCCGAAGCTTCATGCATTATTAAAGACTCAGCAAGTCTATGGCTGATGCTAATTTAATTAGTACCGCAGCCCAATAAAGAAAAAGTTAAGTTAATCTATCTATTCTATAGTAGATGTCAAGTTATTCAGTGCAAGGTGCAGCTGCTCAGTGGACAGATAACTGATCACGTGATGGACACAAATCCTTTTTCGGCTGACTGTATTTAGATCAAGTCAAAAAACGAAAATGTGCCTCAAAACTTTTGCTCATATTGTGATGAAGGACATGATTTTTGTCGCCCTCTTGCTGAGGTCAAATGTAGTTTTTGTGACTTTTTGAAACAATTGAAATCAGTAGGATAAAATAAATTAGAATAGGCCTTTAATTATCACTTAAGTTTGCAGATTTCTAACTGGACCTTGGCAGTGCTATATGCTCTACTGAGTGACATTCTAGTTTACTTATTTATAAAAGTAGTATGAGTATATGTATTTTGTTTATTTAGCATATACATATTTATTTATCTTTCTATCTGAAATTATTTCTATTTATTTGAGTATTTATCCTTTTCAAGTGAAAGCATTTTACTCTGATAAGGTAAAAACATATCACCTGGCTTTATAATCTATGAATGTTCAGTATTATAAATGTATAGTTCTCTCTGTTTTATGAAAATGAGCGAGGACGGCACATACTCAGTGTGCATAGCTTTCTTTGGCTCAATAAAACACATTTAAAACACAAAGTGTGACAATATAACATAAATTAGAACACAGCATCATTTGACATAGATGGAATTATCCTGGAAAATCAAGAAAGAAAGAAAGGAATAAACTGTAAGCACTAGCAACATGTAAACACTAGAGGGTGCTGTTACATATTTTTCCCTCATACTCTGAACATCCCCAGGTAATAATCTATATGGGATCATTTTAAGCCACAGTATTCAAACGTTCTTGTTTTCATCAGAATGTGTCCCTTGCTGCCTTCTCCGTCCGCTGCAGTGAAACCTGGACCAGTATATCTTAAATGATAATTTCACATGTACAGAAGAAGTAAGGCACAAGGACAAAGCATAATTGTGAGTTCGGTGTTTGCGGGGAAAAAAGCTGTAGTTTCCTCGTGAAAGAAAGAAAGAAAAAGTATCGTAACTTAACGTTAGATTTCATCTAATAGATAGAAACAATAAATACATAAATGTATGAGAATCTGTCATATTTAAATACACTTTTTCCATCAGATGTTGTTAATAGATCTGAATGGTTAGAGTCTGAAGCCTCTGATCATGGAAAGGTGGTTGAGGCCAAACTGGTTTCTCACTTTGGCCCCAACTCAACTCATCTTCCCATCCTTCACCCTCTTACCTCTCAATTTCTAACCTCTTTCTCTCTCTCATTCCTCCGCTTCGCCCCCACACACACACGTCTCCCTCTCACATCCGAGCGCTCCTTGTGCTCCTGACTCTCCTTGCCCGCTCCTTGGATATGACATCGGGGAGGCCCTGCAAGGTGGTGATGGTCGTCTTGGTCCAGTGCTCCACCTCCCTGAAGATCCGACAAACCCAAAGCTTCAGCTCAAACAGGGTGCTCGGTCCCTCTAACTGCCAACGAGAAGGGGGAGAGGTCACAAAGCTCTGCCTTACCTCCTATCATAATCACACCTCTGATGATGTCAGCACCTACCTCTAGGCCATCCAAATTAGGGCTGAGGACCGCCGGGCCACCTGCAGCCTTCAGGAGCTCTCCTGTGTTGATTAGGAGAAGCGAGAGCCTGTCCTTCACGATTTTCCTCTGGGTCTCGTAGTCTCCCTTCTTCCCGCCACCAAGCTCCTGTTCCTCTTTGGCGATGGCTCTCTCCAGCAAGCTGCGGCACTGTAGCAGAGCGGAGTGGAGGCGCCAGAGCGTGTCCCTGGTGTCCAGCTGCGATGAGAGAGGAGGGACAGACACCAGGCCACCGCCAGCCACCGTCTCCTCCGCGGTGAAGCTCTCCTTCTTTCTCTTGAGGAAGAAGAGAGAGAAGACAAGAAGTTAGCAAATTATGAACAGATGTGTGATATCATTCATGATGAAAAGAAAGAGGAGGCGGATTTGGAAAGTAAAGTGGATAAGTGGGTTGAAGAAGGCTTTGTGTCACAGACGTCACTTCTGACACCACTTTGGTAATATTTTAAAGATCATTGTCTATTTGGCAAACAGAGATTTTCTCGTAGTTTGATATGAATTCTTTCAGACTCATTAAAGCTGTTTCCCAGAATCAAACATACCGGTCAGAGTGAGAGCGCATTCTTTGAGGAGGAATTTGTGCTCAGCCTCAGCCACTTGTTAAAATAAAATAAAAACACATGCAACAGATATGGTGTCATATGACACAACTTCTAGTCACAGTCAACATTTGAAACACAAAATCATTATGATGACGTTTACAAAATAATTCGACATTTTAGGAAATACTTTCTTGCAGAGAGTTAAATGACCAAATGATCCTTTCCTCATTGTTTTAAACAGCAGCCAGCAGGTTGAGCAGATTAGTTCAGCTTAAGTTTGGTTTTATTTGATGCGATATGTGTCATGATTGACAGCTGAGCCCTGGAAGTTATAGCAGAGACAGACAAAGCCATGGGTAAAAATAAGGATATGATGCAATTAAAAGGCGACCAAAATGAAATGTTCCGCTAAATTAAATTAAATTGTGGATCTGTCTGGTTTTGAGCGTTGATGGAAACATTTTAGGGAATGTAAGTACACAAGTCATAGACATGTATATCACAGGTTGTTTTGAGATATTTTAATGAGTTGTTACATATTATATCTTTAATACTAAATATGTTTGTATGTTTACTTGTGTTTAAAAGTATTTTACAAAGGCAGAACTCTAGCTGGCATTTGCTTTAGTACTTATGCGAGTTGTGAATCCCAGAGGCGTCCTAGTGACATTATGCTGAGGTATTAATGTTGAACCCTGCGTGAAAGTTAGTACCAGTGCGACAGAGTGGACTAATGTGACCTGTGAGTCGCAGGGTGGGGGAGCTGATGTTTGCAGCTCTGACTGCAGAGGAAATGTCTTGCAGGCAGTCATCCCGGAAGCAATAGTGTAGCCAGATTAGATATTCTCATGGATCATTGTGACGTTGAAATAACTTGTAAACTTCTCAAACTCTGGAAATGATTCAAGAGGGATCAAATTAATGAAACTAGTCAGTGATTTCCCACCAAACAAATATGCAAATAAGAGATAGTCTGCCTGGGGCAAAACAAAAATATTTATATTCAAGACTGAAGATATGTTTCTGCAAAGACAAATCTAATCACTTCCTGTTGTGTTCACTGGCATGTGGCTGGTGCTATAGCTGCAGGGTTTCCGGAGAAATGTTTCTAAAAAGAAGTGCAATTGAAAACTGTCAGGAGGAGGGAAGTTGAAGAAGACATGGAGGATTGACAAAGAAAAGGTCAAAATGAAAAAGTTACACAGATGAAGATATACAACAGGCCGCTCCCTTGCTCCTAGCAAGACACATGAATGAAGGAATGAGGCAGTGAACTGGCAGGACACCAAGAAGTTTTAATAACTGGTAGTTCACACCTATAGGCAAAGAGACTTGTGGAGATGAAGTGAAGGACTCTTCCCAGGAACTGATGAGCTTCTGCCACAAAACACCCACTTCTCTCATTCCAGTTAAGTCCACCCACCACCCCCCAGGTCTCAGCATTCCTACCTGCTGCTGTACCCTAGACATAATTTCCTTCTTACTCTCTCTCTCTCTCTCACACACACACACACACACACACACACACACACACACACAC